CATCTGAAGTTTTGAGTTATTGTGAAACCATTGGGGGTATTAATGGGAATGACTATATTATTATTTGTACTGGAAACAATGACTCTAACGCNTCATCATCATCATCATCATCATTTCAGCCACAGGACGTCCACTGCTGAACATAGGCCTCCCCCAATGCTTTCCATGTTGATCGATTGGTAGCGGCCTGCGTCCAGCGCTTCCCTGCTACCTTTACGATGTCGTCGGTCCACCTTGTAGGTGGACGCCCCACGCTGCGTTTTCCGGTACGCGGCCTCCATTCCAGAACCTTTCTGCCCCATCGGCCGTCAGTTCTGCGTACTATGTGCCCTGCCCATTGCCACTTCAGCTTGCTAATCCGTCGGGCTATGTCAGCGACTTTGGTTCGTTTATGGATCTCCTCATTTCTGATTCGATCTCGCAAAGAAACACCAAGCATAGCCCTCTCCATAGCACGCTGTGCAACTTTGAGCTTCTGTATAAGGCCTATAGTGAGAGGCCCACTGTTGTAAACCAATTAAAAATACTATTTAGCGCCACCTATTTCGGGTGAGCAATTACACAAATATCAATACCGTCTCCCGGAGTTTTCTTCCCAACTAAAAGTTGTTTTCTGGATTTTCTAGTCCATTGGTTCCCAAACTAATTTGAGACGCGCCCCCTTTCGACCATACAAAAACTCCGCGCCCCCCCTCCTCCTCCAGTCAAGATTATTTATTGGTCGTGTCGAGCAGTCTGGAATGCATTCTCTCTGCGGTCGCAGGTTTTTTATACTTAAGTACACAGATGGCCCACGCCCCCACTTTGGGAACCAATGCTCTAGTCTTTTTACAGTGGCAAGATCAGATATTTGTATACTGTAAGGAGTTACTGAACAAATATGATCGAATCTATTGTAAAAATCGTGCAATCCTTAAACATCATATTTGTAAGCGCTTTTTATTCACGGCTTGGTCTGTATATTTACTACGATTTTCTAGTAATTCTTAACTAAGCAATAATAATGCCTTTTACTTAAATTGCCACTTCGCAACTTGGTATGATCGTACAAAATGTATGTAAATAAAGTTAGTGCTAGCTCGCACACTTTACACCCCAGTTAAGCTGCAAGATAGATGGTGCTATAGCGCTAGAGCAAACTACGTCGTAATTGTATCCTGATAGATGTGACGTTCATTTGTTACTGCGCAAGCTCTAGTGACTGCATAAACTGATGTCATAAGAAGATTGTTCCTCATAAGAGTTTTTAAGACGTTAAAGAAAATGAAGTACCTTGGCGCAATGTCATTTTTCAGCGGAAACAAGGAGTAGCTATACTGAAATTGCATTTCGGTATTTTCGTGAAAAAAATATGAAAAATCTGAGACGATTAAATTGAAATCTTTTCTCATCCATTCCTCATTTCTCAAAATATTTTTTAACATAACGTAACGTAGTGTAACGTACCTTTACCTTTTTAGAATTTCATAAGCGAATTGAGTAAATCCGTGTGCGATTTAATATGTTTCCAGTAATAACTACCAAAACGATTCTGCCTTAGCCCTGAGCTTAACAAGAACCTTTAACTTCGCACCTCCCAAGTTTTTACCACCAAAGTTCGAAGGATGTAACGTGAGAAGCTGCGATTTGTTAACTTAACACCCCCCGAAACAAAGGGCTATTAAACTCGCTGAAACAATGTACTAAATCGACTTATTATTTGCTATACTATTCTCTGAAGCAGTGGTTCCCAAAGTTGTCTGGGCTACGACTCACCTAATACAAGTTCCCAAACTCGGAACCCACCTATAGGAAATTTCGCCCGCTGCCCAGCGGTTGGATGGGTAGGGTGGTGTGTCGTTCTACAGGCAGGGCCCACTCAATGGTCGCTTGCGACCCACTGGGTCGCGACTCATAGTTTGGGAAACCCTGCTCTGAAGAGTTAATGCGGCCATTTTTCATATTTATGCGTGTTTTTTAAGCGTTGAGTTTCATGATTTCATCCCTGCGAGGAATAAAATATGGCCTCTGATAAAGTTTTTATCGTATTTTGTTTACTTTATAGCAGTATAAAGGCTTGTTTAGCATCTGTGCTTTATGGTTAAGACCTCAACCCTTCGCCCCAAAATGATAATCGAGTTTGTCTAGTCTAAACGACGCGAAACAAGACAGTGGACAGATAAATACTACATTGCAGAAAACTGTACTATCAGACACTAACGACAATAGATGTAATGAGTTAACTACTAACAAAACACATAAGATTATCGTTGTCGGCGATGAACAAGCACTTGGCTTATCAAAACATATAATTAAAACTAGGTGTAATAAATGGAATGACAAATATGAGACATTCGCCTTAATTAAGCCAAATGCTCCTTCATCTGAAGTTTTGAGTTATTGTGAAACCATTGGGGGTATTAATGGGAATGACTATATTATTATTTGTACTGGAAACAATGACTCTAACGCTCAAGCACTCTTTAGTAATTTATGTATAGCTTTAAACTCCATTAAGAACACAAATGTTTTACTGTTACCTATAAACAAAAATTGTAATTTAAATGAGAAACTCCTAAACAAACAACTAAAGTTACTCTCAAACGTCCATAGCAATTGTACATTTATGAATACAGCTAGTTTAATCGAACAAAGGCAATTTACATTTTTGGCATGTAGGAAAATAAATGCCTTCATAGATTATGCAGCCTACAAAGCCCAGTTCCTGTCATATGAAAGCATTAAAAATCATTTAAAAAGAGCGAATGGTACGAATAACTCTAGCAACTGTATAAAAACAAAGGGATTGCAGATTAATAAGGGAACTATTCCATATTATTTTCCAATCGTAATTAAAGCAAATACCGATAAAGTTAATTCCTCTGCTTCCCCTGATAAAACTAAAAGTAACAGTTTTTTTCGTGGATAACTGTAAAAAAATACAAAACATAGACTTCACGATATTCCATCAAAACTGTGCAGGACTATTAAACAAACAAGATACTCTGCATGTTGTTTTGCAGGAATTTTGTGAAAGGAGTATTCCCATCAGTGTTGTGTGTATTACTGAGTCTTTCTTAAAACTGGAAGATATAGGCAATATAAAAATAAATAACTTTAAAGTAATATCATCTTATTGTAGGCCACGTGAGAGAAGAGGAGGTGTATGCATATTGGTCAGAGAGGGGATACCAACTATAAACATCAATCTAAATGACTATGTCAGCTACAAAAGCTTTGAATGTGCGGGTATCGAAATAGAAAACAATAACCTCATAATAATATGTCTTTACCGTACACCGAACTCTGACATAGATACTTTTTTCATAAAATTAGAATCTCTATTAATAAAACTATGCAATAAACGTGCTAAAAGAATCGTCTTGTGTGGTGACATTAACATTGACCTAATAAAAAAATCTCACTATAGTATTAGATTATCAAATTTGATCAACTATTTTAATCTAAAATTCCACATTACATCACCGACACGACAAACATCCTGTATTGACCACTTTGTTAGTAATATACCATCAGCAATTGGTAAGGTACATAACTTAGCAATTTCTGACCACACAGGACAAACTCTACAAATAAAGCTTAAGCTAAACAAAGTAATAAGCCAATGGTTTGAAGAAAGAAGAGAAATAAGCTTCGATAATATTAAAAAATTTAAATGTTCTATATCGAGGCTAACCTTTTCTGACATTTTTTTAAGCAATGACACAAATATAGCCTTTTCACTATTACACGATAACTTGAAAATGATGTTTGATCTCTGCTTTCCAAAAATAGTAATTAAAGTAAATATTAAAAGAAACAGCGTACACTGGATTACAAAAGGTATTAAGAAATCATGTAGAGAAAAAAGAAAACTCTATCTTAAATATCAATATAGCAAATCAAAGGAAAGCAAAGAGAAATCCAAAATAAAATATAAAAAATACTCTAAAATTCTTAAAAATTGCATTTTAGACACACAAAGAAGAGGAAATATTAAGAAAATACTTAATTCTAAAAATAAATGTAGAGCCACTTGGAACATAATAAATTCCCGACTGCAGAACATCCAAAGACATGAAATTGATAAAATTAGGTTTGACTCTGATTTAACTGATAATCCTAATGACATCTCGAATCTATTTAATAATTATTTTATTGACATAACTAATAATGACTCTAATAAAAATTCAATTTTAATACCAGACACACCTATTGACATGAGTAATACTTCATTCTTTTTCTATCCCACTACACCAGAGGAAATATGCAAAATAATACTGACTCTTAAAAACACAAATTCCGTAGGGTATGACGAAATACCCACAAAGATACTTAAATCTGTAGCTGAATATATTGCGCCCGCAATCAGTCATGTCATTAATCTGTCTCTCAGTCAGGGCATTTTTCCTGACAAACTAAAATATTCCATAGTTAAACCAATTTATAAAAAAGGTGATAAAACCGACCTCAATAATTATAGGCCCATCACACTCATTCCCATACTAGNTGACAGACGGACAGACGGACAGACGGACAGACGGACAGACGGACAGACGGACATGACGAAACTATAAGGGTTCCGTTTTTGCCATTTTGGCTACGGAACCCTAAAAAAGGTGATAAAACCGACCTCAATAATTATAGGCCCATCACACTCATTCCCATACTAGCCAAAGTTGTAGAAAAAGCTGTATATACTCGGCTTAACCATTTCTGTGAGAAATATAAAGTAATAACGGAACAACAATATGGTTTTAGGAAAAAAAGAAACACTACATCTGCGAACTTCAAATTGGTTAAAACAATAATGGAATGCTTGAACAATGGAATACCCATTGTTGCTCTCTACCTTGACATGAGNAAGGTATGTCGTATTTATCATTGGCCATAGGTTACGCGTACAAGATCTTCGCGGCTCTAGTGTAAGAGATCGCGCCGTCAAGAACGTGCGCCGACACGCCGCCGGGTTGCTGGTCAAGCTGGGCTCTAAGGTATGTCGTATTTATCATTGGCCATAGGTTGCGCGTACAAGATCTACCGCGGCTCTAGTGTGCGAGGTCGCGCCTTCAAGAACGTGCGCCGACACGCCGCCGGGTTGCTGGTCAAGCTGGGGTCGAAGGTATGCCGCAGTCATCATTTCAGCCATAGGTTTATGTGTAAAGATCTTTGCGGCTCTAGTGCACGAGGCCGCGCCGTCAAGAACGTGCGCCGACACGCCGCCGGGTTGCTGGTCAAGCTGGGCTCTAAGGTATGCCGCAATCATCATTTCAGCCATAGGTTTATAGTCATTATTTTAGTCATAGGTTACGTGTACAAGATCTTCGTGGCGCTGGTGTACGAGACCGCGCCGTCAAGAACGTGCGCCGACACGCCGCCGGGTTGCTGGTCAAGCTGGGCTCTAAGGTATGCCGCAGTCATCATTTCAGCCATAGGTTTATGTGTAAAGATCTTTGCGGCGCTGGTGTATGAGGGCGCGCCGTCAAGAGCGTGCGGAGACACGCCGCTGACCTCCTTGTCAAGCTGGGGTTTAAGGTATGCCGCAGTCATCATTTCAGCCATTTCGCGGCACTAGTGTATAAGGCCGCGCCGTCAAGAACGTGCGGAGACACGCCGGGTTGCTTATAAAGCTGGGGTCTAAGGTATGTCACAATCATAATTTTAGTCATAGGTTATTTGGACAAGTTCTTCGCGGCGCTGGTGTACGAGGGCGCGCCGCCGGGTTGCTGGTCAAGCTGGGCTCTAAGGTATGCCGCAGTCATCATTTCAGCCATAGGTTTATAGTCATCATTTTAGTCATAGGTTACGTGTACAAGATCTTCGCGGCGCTAGTGCACGAGGCCGCGCCGTCAAGAACGTGCGCCGACACGCCGCCGGGTTGCTGGTCAAGCTGGGGTCTAAGGTATGCCGCGTTCATCACTTCAGCCATAGGTTTATGTGTAAAGATCTTTGCGGCGCTGGTGTAAGAGGGCGCGCCGCCCGCCGTCCGCCGCGACCGCGCCGTCAAGAACGTGCGCCGACACGCCGCCGGGTTGCTGGTCAAGCTGGGGTCGAAGGTATGCAGCATTCATCATTTTAGTTGGTCATAGGTCGGTGGCCTCCTATAATTCGTTTAAAAAAAAAGTGACGTTATCACTTGTTTATAAAAATCTTTGGAAGAACAGTGGGTCTAGACAAAGTGCAAATTATAATCGCAAACCAGTCGAAAAGTGGTCGAAAAGCCCCTTTTTTGTATGGAGTTTTAACGGATTCGATTTTCGATTCGATCAAAAAGTGCGTTTTGTCTAGGGGGGCAGATCGTCGCTTGCCTCTCTAACTGATGTAATCTGTCATTTTTTTCGAAACTGAGTTATCTACACCATCTTAATCAATTTTGCAAGACGAATCGATCTGTCTAATCGCCTGAAAATTTTGCTAAATGTCAGTTACGTCAGTTAGAGAGGCAAGCGACGAGATATCAGTTCTATTACGCTATAAGGATAGTTTGAACTCCCACAAACCTGACTATCTAATCATCTGCACCCATCAGCTTGGAGCATGAGAGGAGCCTGACAATACAAGTGCGTGAATGCCTGGCCCAAAGAAACCTGACACCCTTCTCTGGCCTTTACCATGACTTTTAATTAAATTTAATCGCTAGCGTGTGCGTCAAAAAATCTATGAAGATTTTAGTGCTGGAAAGGTTGAAAGTAACCAATACGCTGTACAATATGTCATATATTTCATGTGATTTTTACGCAGTCTCTAGCGAGCCCACCTTAACATGTAAACTCATGGTAAGCCTACTGTAACCCGTGATTACCCGTGTCAACTTAACTCATTGTCCACCAGTACCCGCTGCTGCTGCTGCCAGTATTCCCGCGGCTCCACGAGATGTGTCGCTCGGCGTTAGCACGCGCGGACCTCAGCGCGGTGGAAAGCGTTACACTACAGGAGGCGTTGTTACTCGTCTCCAACCACTTCTGCTGCTACGAGCGGCAGAGCGCACTGGTCGCGCAGGTTAGTGAAGAATAAATGCTAAATAACGTAACGTTTACACTAAAAAGTTACCATCATCTTCATCATCATCAACAGCCCTTTACAGTCCACTGCTGGACTATCAGCCTCCGCCACTACAGTAGAGGTTTTTGCCATGATCCCCACGCTTGGCAGGCGGGTAGGAGATCGCAGTTTAAAAGATTGATGTTTTTCAGAGAGCGCTGCTGCCCGTTCTCTGTTTGATGTGTAGTCCCAAGCCGTGTGGTGACGGCAGATTAGAATACATTTTTGTCACCAACCCCTACTTTTCCTGCGGGTGTCGTAAAAAGTTACCATATGGGGGGAAATATTTTTAGAAAAAAAAATCCGTTTTTACGGCCCGTGATAAAATCTTATCGGTGATTATCGACGACAAATGTATGAGCTTATCGAGTAAAATTGATAAAAGTTTATCGTGGCGTGGATCATAGGTCTACTGTTGATTAAATTGATTGAATTACGTAATGCTTTCACGAAATGGGGGAAATATTTATTGAAAAATTTTTGCTCGCTAGATGTCACTTTTTAGATTAATTTGTCTTTTTTCTATCCGCCCAACACGTAGGGCTGCATAACAACCGCGTGGTAAGATAAACCATATTGGGTAGTTCGCTCAAATAACTAACGATAAACTACAAAATTATGACGCCGCCGCGCCGGTCTGTGACTGATCTCTGGTTGGTTACCAAATTATTCTACTCTTCATACAGTCAAAAAGAATCATTTGTTAAAAGCTTTTATGTTATTGCATTCGATATAAATTGAAGAATAAATCATGTAATATTCTTACAGGTCCTAGGTGACTGCAGCGAGCGGTGGGCGTCACTAGGCCCCCATGTATCGTCAGCAGAATCTCTAGCGCGACTGATTGGTCTTGACCAGGCGCCCGAGGCCGCCGACGTAGATGATGAGCGAGGCCGCGCTAGAAGAACGTTACTGCATGCGTTGACGCTGCTATTAGGCGTCGTGAAGAGGACGCAAGTGCCTGCTGATCCGGACAAGTGAGTCTTATTGCTATGGGAATAAGGTTGTCACGCCTAAGAGTCATAAGCAGAATCTCTGGCGCGACTGATCGGCCTCGACCAGGCGCCTGAGGCTGCCAATGAAGATGACTAGCAAGGCCGCGCCAGAAGAACGTTACTGCATGCGCTGACGCTGCTATTAGGCGTGGTCAAGAGGACGCAAGTGCCTGCTGATCCTGACAAGTGAGTCTTATTGCTATGGAAATAAGGTTGTCACGCCCAAGAGTCATTAGCGGAGTCTCTGGCGCTACTGATCGGGTCTCGAAGGCCGCCGACGTGGACGACGAGCGAGGTCGCGCTCGGAGAACGTTACTGCATGCGTTGACGCTGCTATTAGGCGTCGTGAAGAGGACGCAAGTGCCTGCTGATCCGGACAAGTGAGTCTTATTGCTATGGGAATAAGGTTGTCACGTCTCAAGAGTCTTCAGCAGAATCTCTAGCGCGACTGATCGGTCTCGACCAGGCGCCCGAGGCCGCCGACGTAGATGAAGAGCGAGGTCACGCTCGGAGAACGTTACTGCATGCACTGACGCTGCTATTAGGCGTGGTGAAGAGGACACAAGTGCCTGCTGATCCGGACAAGTGAGTCTTATAGCCTTGTGAATAAGGTTGATAAACCCCAAGAGCCATTGGAGTCGGAGTCTTTGGCGACTGATTGGCTTCGACCAGGTGCCTGAGGTCACCTCCCTGAGATAGCTCCTCCAACTCTACTTTAGTAGCACGTAAAATTAGTATTCCTGTTCGAGTCAAATCGATGCTCCCAGTTGTCCTTTTTCAACCAAACCAAAGTTGTAGAAAAAGCTGTATATACTCGGCTTAACCATTTCTGTGAGAAATATAAAGTAATAACGGAACAACAATATGGTTTTAGGAAAAAAAGAAACACTACATCTGCGAACTTCAAATTGGTTAAAACAGTAATGGAATGCTTGAACATTGGAATACCCATTGTTGCTCTCTACCTTGACATGAGTAAAGCTTTTGACTTTGTGGACCATAAAAGACTATGTGCAAAGCTCTACAATTATGGAATCAGAGGCACGGCGCTTGATTGGATAACTAGTTATCTACATGATAGATACCAATGTGTACAACTAACTAAAACATGTAAGAAAAACAAAAATACCTATTGTAAATCAGTCTTCCAATCAGAGTACAAAATCAATAGATGTGGAGTGCCTCAGGGTACGCTTTTAGGACCTCTATTATTCATACTCTATATAAATGACCTACCACGTGCAACCAAACATGAATCAATACTATTTGCAGACGACACTACAGTTCTCGTCCGAGGCCCTGTAAAACAAAGAGACCTTAACGTAAAAGAGTATGAAAATGAAATAAACCTAACTCTAAAAAAAATTATTCAATGGATGACTATAAACAATCTAAAAGTCAATATTGATAAAACTAAATATATGCAATTTGGCACATACAAGACAACCCAACTGCAACTTGACATTAAACACAATGATAAAAAAATTGACATGGTAGAATCGACAAAATTTTTAGGATTAAATATTGACAAAAACTGTAATTGGAAAAATCACATAACCATAGTTAGTGAATCATTAAGCAGATTTTCATTTGCATTAAGACGCCTTAGAGAAGTGTCTACTGTAGAGACTGCCCTATTAGCATATCATGCTCACGTAGCTTCAGTGCTACAATACGGCATCATGATATGGGGAAACTGCACTGACATACTGACCTTATTTAGAAGCCAAAAGAAATGCATTCGATCCCTATTTGGTGCATACCGTTTAGAGTCGTGTGAGCCCTTGTTTAAAAAATATAAGCTCCTTACACTGACAGGACTCTACATAAAACAAATCTGCAGTTTTGTCAAAGACAATATGGACCAATTTGTCACTAAAACATCTGACTTGAAAAATTTTCGTAGTAGACCAGCAAATAAACTAGTAATACCTAATTATAGATTAAGCTTAGCAAATAATAATGTATGCTCAATGGCTGTCAAAATATTTAATTCCCTGCCTGATAATCTTAGACAGTTAAATGGACCACTATTCAAAAGACGTCTACATGAATACTTAGTAGAAAATTGTTTTTATTCAGTCAGAGATTTTCTTGACAAAACTAAGTAATGACTAGAATTATATTAATGAATTATATTAATGAATTAAATTAAATATTGTATATGTAAAATGAAAATTATATTAATTTATTGAATTGAATATTATATACCTACCTAAATGTAAAATGTAAATTATATTAATGTATTAAATTGAATATTATATATTATTAAATTATTATGTAAAATGTTTGCATGCTTTTATATAAGTAGATTTTGACGAACAAACCATTTTAAGAACACCTTACTGTATTACTCAAGATTGAAGCAAATAAATATATTTCATTTCATTTCATTTCATTTGAACTTTGAACCTTAAAGTAAATTATGTAAAATTCGAAATCTAAATTTCATTACTTTTAGTTTTGGTTTATGGTTAATTTGCTAGCGACTTAGAAGGTTTTGTCGCATGATTACATTTCTATGGAATCCAAAATGTTTTTGTTGCTTTGACCGTTTTATTGTTTGGGATTTATATAGTACTAAGTGCTGTCTAGATCAATAATACCTTTGCAAGTTTTGTTCTGTTCTGAAAAACATGTTGTCCTTTGATGTCCTGAAATTCTATTCTAAGTCAGATATTAAACAAAAGGTTACTCTCATATTATTGTAAAATTATTAACAATTTCTGTCTTATCTGATGTAGCAATTCTCGCACATAACAATTAATCAAATTAGCTATCTAAGCTGAACATAATGGCGCCTGCCACTAACTCCTGGGCACCTGACCTGATAGATACAAATGGCTGACGTTCCCGTGCGCTAAAAGCAACGTATAGTTTATCTCTAACTTGGACTAATGCCAATTTAACTTGTGCCTAGAGAGGTATCGATTTGGCATCGATATGAATTCAAGAATAAAAATACGTATTATTCGTTGGAACTTTTACATTTTAATAAAGAATGGAAAACAGAAGTATAAGCAAATACTTAAAGAAAGAACTGAAGAAAATAAAAATAAAGTATTGTATGATACATACAAGTGAGTTAAGTTGATTTGATATTTGAGGCAGGGACTACAATAGAGCTGAAAGATTTTTAACATAATAATATGGCACGGTAAACACTTGTAAGAATAAATAAATTTTATATCAACTAAGCTATATTTCTATACTTCTATTTCACTAACTATACATACTTCTATTTCCTAGTTAATCTACTATAATGTAGAAGGAATTATATAACTTAATTCCACCAGCCCCTTTCCATCACCGGGGAACCAGACGCAGGCTAGCGTACCATCCCTACATTGTCGACATTCCACCAGCTCGCACTAAGCGTTTCGACGACTCCTTCACGGTAATACTATCTATACAGTATTCCAACTCGGCCATATTTTTGAAATAAATGTCAACAGTCGCGCGGTACGTCACAGTATGACCAGGCCTCCGTCACTCGCCTATGCCTCACTAAATAAACATCTGACTTGAAAAATTTTCGTAGTAGACCAGCAAATAAACTAGTAATACCTAATTATAGATTAAGCTTAGCAAATAATAATGTATGCTCAATGGCTGTCAAAATATTTAATTCCCTGCCTGATAATCTTAGACAGTTAAATGGACCACTGTTCAAAAGACGTCTACATGAATACTTAGTAGAAAATTGTTTTTATTCAGTCAGAGATTTTCTTGACAAAACTAAGTAATGACTAGAATTATATTAATGAATTAAATTAAATATTGCATACGTAAAATGTAAATTATATTAATTTATTGAATTATTGAATATTATATACCTACCTAAATGTAAAATGTAAATTATATTAATGTATTAAATTGAATATTATATATTATTAAATTATTATGTAAAATGTTTGCATGCTTTTATATAAGTAGATTTTGAAGAACAAACCATTTTAAGAACACCTTACTGTATTACTCAAGATTGAAGCAAATAAATATATTTCATTTCATTTCATTTCATTTCAACCAAACGTGGTCTCGAGACCTGTATCATGTCTAAAAAATTACCTTCTATCCCCAGAGCGTCACGCGGCGGCTTCAGCGCGGGCGTGACCGCGTCCGGCAACCCAATATGGCGGAACCCGTGCGGCTCGCACGTGCTCCCGTTATTCCCGCACGCGCTGGCACTAGCGCGGGCGTTGCACGAGTTGCACGCGCCGGGCGCGCGCGCGCTAAGGCACCCGGGGCACGCGCGCGCATTGCACGCGCCGCCTGCGGAGCGCCGCAACCTGTTGGGATTGCCTGCACCGGCGCCCGTGCGAGACCCCGACCACCACCACTTGCACCCTCAGGAGCGTATGCAGAACTATTTACACACGCTACACGATAACGTGAGTTGGAGATTTGTTTAAAATATGGTCACCGAGCACAGAATTTCGTCCAATGACCCCAAGCTGTCCATCCTTATCGCTCGCGCGTTATTATATTGCTGTCGCGCTGCATTCCGCTGTATTTATTATGAAATTAATGCCTCACTGAAATGCCGTCCAAATGTGTCACATCATTTGACGTTTTGTGCCACTCGTGTGCGGCCATTAGGTCGACAGTGACATCTGTGTCGATGTCAACCTGTAATGACTGTTACAGTTTGGAATGAATAAATAAATATAAACTGAGTATCACTGCTAAACGATAGTTGTAATGTGACGTCATAATTTTTAACGTGTTTATTGTTGCACACAGGTGTGCCACCTCGTGGGCGCGGCTGCGACGACTCTCGGGCGGGAGCTGTACGCCGTGCCCGGGCTCGCCAAGTTCCTGTCGGACTCGCTTCTCCACGGTCTCGAATACCTGCCCGACCACTGGCTGCGGCCCATCGTGCGCAACGCGCTCAAGCCGCTGCTGCACCACTGTCCGCCCGCGCACTTCCAGCACGTCGCGCTGCCGCTGCTGCAGCACTACGCGCCCTTCAGTGAGTGTCCCGCAGCTGTCCCGCGCTGTCCCGCCCCGGCCGCGGCCCATCGTGCGCAACGCGCTCAAGCCGCTGCTGCAGCACTACGCGCCCTTCAGTGAGTGTCCCGCAGCTGTCCCGCGCTGTCCCGCCCCGGCCGCGGCCCGTCGTGCGCAAAGCGCTCAAGCCGCTGCTGCAGCACTACGCGCCCTTCAGTGAGTGTCCCGCAGCTTGTCCCGCAGCTGTCCCGCGCTGTCCCGCCCCGGCCGCGGCCCATCGTGCGCAACGCGCTCAAGCCGCTGCTGCAGCACTACGCGCCCTTCAGTGAGTGTCCCGCAGCTTGTCCCGCAGCTGTCCCGCGCTGTCCCGCCCCGGCCGCGGCCCATCGTGCGCAACGCGCTCAAGCCGCTGCTGCAGCACTACGCGCCCTTCAGTGAGTGTCCCGCAGCTTGTCCCGCAGCTGTCCCGCGCTGTCCCGCCCCGGCCGCGGCCCATCGTGCGCAACGCGCTCAAGCCGCTGCTGCAGCACTACGCGCCCTTCAGTGAGTGTCCCGCAGCTTGTCCCGCAGCTGTCCCGCGCTGTCCCGCCCCGGCCGCGGCCCATCGTGCGCAACGCGCTCAAGCCGCTGCTGCAGCACTACGCGCCCTACAGTGAGTGTCCCGCGCCCGCAGCTGTCCCGCGCTGTCCCGCCCCGGCCGCGGCCCATCGTGCGCAACGCGCTCAAGCCGCTGCTGCAGCACTACGCGCCCTTCAGTGAGTATCCCGCGCCGTATCCCGAGCCTGTCGTCTGTCCCGCAATGTGTTCCGAGCCCGCTGCCTGTCCTGTGCTGTGTCCTGAGCCCGCCGCCTGTCCCGCGCTATATCCCGAGCCCGCCACTTATCCCGAGGTGTTTCCTGAGCCCGCTGCCTGTCCCGCGCCAGTCCCAACCGCATGCGCAACGCTAATCGAGTTTACGGAAACGGTCCCACTTCTCTTTCTCGACTGCAACGTTGTGTCTGACCTTGAATTGGGGAAAAAACGGGTTTAGCCATCCATTTAAGAGAGCAATAGTAAACTGACGGCTACTTCGATCATTCTGTAGGACACCAGGGTTAGCTAGCTCCGTCTATATCTTTAGACCAAGCAAATTGCTATCAGTAAGTAAGTACCATAGAAGGTGAGAGAAATTAGAAGTAGGTACTGTCAGCCTATGGCTATGGTTGAAAAACACATTCATAAAACTGGAAACTGCAAACTAGTCCTTTATGTTAAACAGAAAATAAAAATAATATCTTCTTTTTCAGTGCTAAAACATTTATCGGAACGGTGGGACTACATCACATCTCTCTACGAATCTGGGAAGTTGGAGGAGGAGGGCGGCAGCGAATCACAAGAGGTCCTCGAGGACATGCTAGTCAGACATCTCACAAGAGAACATTTAGAAGTACTCAAAGTAAGTTATTTTTGGTGAAATGTGACGTAGTGAGAGTTAAGTCTGAGGTGAGGGGAATGAAAGAAAGTTACGCTATAGATGATAGAGGCAAAGGTAGCACATAGTACTACCGGTAGTGTTGGAGCCAATGAGAGCTAAACTTGATAAATTTTGATCCAATGTGTGGTTATTGCATTACGTTTTCTGGTAAATTCATGATAAAGCACCTTATCTGATTCAATTTCAAGCGTATTTTGAGGTTTTTAATCAGTAATATTAACTTTAAATATATTTCGCATAGCAAGCGACATCTCGCCGCGTTACGCGTCCCAAAGTTCGTTGGGATTGTCCCTACACTAAACGAAATTCCTTATTCTCGCGTTAACCGATAGTTCGGTTCCTAACGTCCGGTCAGCTCACTGCACACTCACTGCGGCCGCCCATCGCACAGTGAGTGTGCGAGCGCGACAGCCATATAATAGGGATGTTTCCTGGGTCAAAAAGCAAGAGTTTTAATTAGTCCGTCAGTTAACTTATCAAAAAATACTCTACACGTATTTTTCACTTTTTCAAACTAATGAAAATTTAAAGAGATAAAGCGCGCCAAAGTTCATAAGAAGAGGCCCGTGTGGTCAATGCGTGCATAAAAGTGCCGCACGTTGTGACGTCGTCGATGGTGCGTTGACCATAACTATTATTTGTTAGATTGACAAATAAAAATATATGTGTCCAATATTTTTTGATATTAAACATGACGGACTAAAAAAAATTTTTTAGGAAACTAGCCTATTACGCGCGGGCGATAAGGATGGGTAGGCTTAGGGTCATTGTACGAAATTCTATTCGGCGACTGGACTTTATATTAAAGTACTTTTACGTTTGCAGATCTCACTAGTAGACGGCGGTTTAAGCGTAGAAGTGTCATCGGGTGATATGGAAGACGACGCGGCACCGGCGTGCGCTCCGCAGCGAGCGCCGGATCACGTGTCCGAACTCGGCGCGCTCGTGCTGCAGGACGCGCGCGCGGGGCCCGCGGCGTTACACACGGTGAGTTGAATTAGAAGTAGAACCAGGCCTGTTCATCTCCGCGAGTTTACATCGAAAACAAAACAAGCACGATGGCACCCTACAGGATTACTATTCGACAAGGCCTCACATACGAGCGAGTATTGACTCATGCACCCGTATTCTTGTGTATGATGGAAAAAAATAAAGAAAATTGTGTACTATAGTCTATCCAATATAGCTTGATTAGAATGACGGCTGTCAAACGAATGTGACTAGTGATGGGTATGTTTCGTACGGTTCACATAGATGTATCGATAAGTTTTCGAAAAAATGATATGAAAAAATGCACCCAATTTTTCTTCATATATCTTTATTCTGTATAAGGCCTATAGTGAGAGGCCACGTTTCCGAGCCATAAGTTATCACTGGTAACACACATTGGTTATACACTCTAGTCTTCAGGCATTGAGGTAATTTGGACGAAAAGATGTTGCGTAGTTTCCCGAACGCTGCCCAGCCGAGTTGGATTCGATGGATGCTTGGTGTTTCTTTGCGAGATCGAATCAGAAATGAGGAGATCCGTAAACGAACCAAAGTCGCTGACATAGCCCGACGTATTAGCAAGCTGAAGTGGCAATGGGCAGGGCACATAGTACGCAGAACTGACGGCCGATGGGGCAGAAAGGTTCTGGAATGGAGGCCGCGTACCGGAAAACGCAGCGTGGGACGTCCACCTACAAGGTGGACCGACGACATCGTAAAGGTAGCAGGGAAGCGCTGGACGCAGGCCGCTCAATAGCGTTCAGCCTTATAGCGTTCCTGCGATTAGATCTAGGTATTTCCTCGAGGCTCGAAAGAAATGATAACGATGACACACATTATTTACCACTATTTAGGTCGTTTTAGGTATAACAATAGGATTTAAGATACCGCGCAAGCACTCTCAAATTTAACAGCTGCTTAAGACGATTTGACAGTTGTTTGAGTAATGCTTAGCGTTGAATGGCGTTTCAGTATGCGAAAATTCATTTAAGTGGCGTTTGAGTGCAACTTAATTTGAGAGGTGCTTAAAAATTGAGAACTGCTCAGATATTGTTTTGAGTATGCGAAATGTAAGTTTAGGAGCTGCTTAATTAACTATTTGAGAAGCCGTCAAATATTTAAATGGCGTTTCAGTATTCGGCCGTAAAAGCTTTGTCTTCTTTATCAGTCCAAATCCATTTATTACCTTTTTTTAAACGCTCGTACAGTGGATTTAAAATACTGGAAGCACCTGGCACGAATCCCCTGTAGTAATTGACTAATCCTAAAAAGGATTGCAACTGATTAACATTTTTGGGGGTTGGTGCATTTAAAATTGCTTTTACTTTCTCCGGTGATTTTTTTAATCCTTCCTTATTTATAATGTAACCTAAATAACTTATTTCATCGCAAAAAAATACACATTTTTCTTTTTGTAAGGTTAAACCGGCGTCCTGAAGCCTTTTCAGCACCTGATTTAGTCTGTCTAAATGCTGATTCCTGTCAGATCCAGTTACGAGTACGTCATCTAATAGTACCAGTACGCCACTTATACCGGCAAGCAAATTTTCCATAGCGCGTTGGAAAATAGCCGGTGCGCTTGCGAGGCCGAACACTAGTCGCGTGTACGCAAACAATCCGCGATGCGTATTGATGCAGGTTAGCTTTTGTGAGTCATTATCTAGACAAAATTGATTATAGGCCATTGAAAGGTCTAATTTAGTGAATTTATTTCCCCCATATAATTTAGAAAATAGTTCATTTACAGTGGGTAACGGGTACTGGTCGATAACCAACTGTTTGTTAATACTGACCGAGTAATCTGCACAAATTCGTAAAGACCCGTTACGTTTCAAAACCGGAACAATAGGTGATGCGAAATCAGAGTGATCTACTGGACGAAGTACCCCTAAATCAATTAACTTATCAATTTCTCTTTCTACCTTCTCCTTTAGCGCAAATGAAACCGGTCGCGCTTTACGAAATATCGGTTTCGAGCCCTCTTTCAAGTTTAACTTTACTTCGTATTTATTAAATTTACCTAATTTTCTAGAGAACAATTGAGGATACTGCGATTGTAGTGTTTTAATAATGTTATCTTCTTCGCAATACCGGACAGGGCAAAGTTGCAATTTGAATTGCGAAATAAAATCGCGACCGAGTAAAGAAGGGCCGTCGCCGCGAACTATAAATACATTAAGTACGCGCGTGTGTCCTTCCCACTGTACTGATAACGACAAACATCCAATACAACGCAGCACTTCACCAGTGTAACTTATTAATTTTTTTGTAGTTGCGTTTAAGGGCCATATCTTTGAAATGCGATTTGTAAGTTCCCTCGGACATGACGGTAACCGCCGACCCACTATCAATTTCAAAACGTAATTTTTGGCCGTTGATGAGCACAGTTTCAACTAAAGGTTCCCCCTTGATCGTACGTATATTAAACAACTTACCGTCATCGTCGTCGTCCTCGTTTACCTCACATGCCACCGTGGAAACGTAATTCACTTTTTTACACATACGGCGTAAGTGACCCTTTATATTACACTTCCGACATGTATAATTAGCAAACCGACACGACTCTGCTTTATGATTAGTGTAACCGCACACAGAACACTTCACTTTTCCACCACGTCGATCTTCGGTGCCAGAGGGTTGCGCAATCTTGAACAGCTGCTCGTGGTCGAGCGCGGCGGGCGGCGCCGGCGGCGCCCCTGCGGCGCTGATGGCAGCGGCGCGCGCGCCTCGCAGACTTTCGGCCAGGTTTACGGCTTTAGCCAGCGTAAACCCCGCGAGATCTTGGACGTACATTTTTTCTTTTTCAGCTCCCGGAAGCATCCCCATAATAAAACGATCCCTCAATGTTTCCTCTAAATTACTAAAATTACATTGAGCAGTCAATCCTCGAAGTCTGGCGACCCACTGTGCGGGTGACTCCATTTCTTGTTGGGTAGCAGCGTAAAATTTATGGCGTTCACTGAACCCAATCTGCTTAGGGGTGAAGTGAGAATCCAGGAGCGAGACGATGTCTTCATAAGGCACCTCTTGGAGTTCCTTGGGTAGGGCGAGGTCCGACGCAAGCTTATAGGTGCCTTCGCTGAGTGCGCTGAGTAGGATTGCGCGCCTTTTCACTCCAATTGGATCATTCCCGTTATTAACGTCGTTGGCAATAAACCACTGCGTTAATCTGTTTTTGTAAGTTTTCCAAGTGTTTAAATTATGATCAAAAACCGATAAATTTCCAAAACTTGCAAAAGACATTTTTTATTTACGCAACGCGGGTATTAGTCGCCACTGATATGTATGGGAACAAGGAGCGTGAGTGAAACACGACGGCTGTCAACGCACTGGATGTATTCATCGATCGATTAGACGCGGGCGCAGCCGCGTAACTATAGCTAGTTATAGGTACACATACATAACAAAAACCATGAAATCTTAAATTATTTTTATTATGTACAGGAAATTGTATGGTATGTTAGAGAATTTTTAAAAAAATTCGAAAATCTTTGAATGTAGTTCTCTTTCTTTTCAAAAATAAAGGAAAGTATTCTTTCAGAAAAAAAAAAATCTATCTACAATATTAAGAGTAGTTTCCCTCCAGGTGGCATTACAAAATTCCACCCTGTATAGTACAGATAAAGGAAAAATTGCCAAAATGATAAATTTGAAGTTACATAAAATATTAAAATATTATTTTTGCTTACATGACATAAAATATTTTTTTAATAATTATAAACTTACTACCTACCCTTTTTCACATGAACGCGTAGAGATATTAAAGTTGAAATTCATATCAATCTTCTTAAATCTAATTGCCTCTAAACTGTGAAAAAATCTAAATCAACGCAAAAATTCAAAACGCTGCAGCTGAGGTAGGTCTAGGTACCTACCTATAATTATAACGCATAATAATATTTTGAAATTCGCCACTACTCGCAACGGAATCAAAACTTAAAGACTACCACGATATCTAGTATGTAATTTGATTTAATACGTCATAAATTGTAAACCGCTACGTTTGTACGGCGGAACCCTCGGTGTGCGAGTACGACTCGCACTTGGCCGGTTTTTTATGTATTTTATGTATTTTTTAGGGTTCCGTACCTCAAAAGGAAAACACCGGCCAAGTGCGAGTCGGACTCGCACACCGAGGGTTCCGCCGTACAAAACTACAAACGTAGCGGTTTACAATTTATGACGTATTAAATCAAATTACATACTAGATATCGTGGTAGTCTTTAAGTTTTGGTTCCGTTGCGAGTAGTGGCGAATTTCAAAATATGCGTTATAATTATAGATAGGTACCTAGACCTACCTCAGCGTTTTGAAGTTTTGCGTTGATTTAGAATTTTTCGCAGTGAGGCAATTAGTTTTAAGAAGATTGATATGAATTTCAACTTTAATATCTCTACGCGTTCATGTGAAATGAAATGGAGCAGAACACATGCCAGATATGAACCAGCATGCAAATGTTTTACACAAGTCAATTTATTATTAACTAGCTTTCCGCCCGCGGCTTCGCCCGCGTGGAATTTTGTCTGTCACAGAAAAACTTTATCGCGCGCGTCCCTGTTTCAAAAACCGGGATAAAAACTATCCTATGTTCTTTCCCGGGACTCAAACTATCTCTATGCCAAATTTCATCAAAATCGGTTGCGAGGTTTAAGCGGGAAAGCGTAACAGACAGACAGACAGACAGACAGAGTTACTTTCGCATTAATAATATTAGTTGGGATCAAAATTTAAATAACATCTACCTAATTTCTAAATGTTTTACACAAGTCAATTTATTATATTAATTAAAATTTAAATAACATCTACCTAATTTGTGTTACAAAAATACCTATGTTACTAAAATCGTTGTCAAATTCCATTAGTATTCCAAATACCACTGTAATGTATAGAATAAAGAGGGTAGACTTAANACAATTATGATTTAAATTTAAAGACAGTAAAATTTAAAATTCATGTCAAGAGTGTACAACCTAAGTCGTAGTCATTATCATCAGTGTTCTTCAGTGGTTTTTTCCTCTCGCTAGAGGGCGGTGGGCATCTCTTCTAGAGCAACGGTGCTATGAATACCCAAAAAATTACCGGTGATTGATTTCCGATGTTTGATTATTTAAGAATGAAATGTTTTTTGGTTTTTAATAGAGAACATTTAGAAAAACGCATAACTTGACTTAAATATGTTAAAAAATGAGTTAGAAAAAAAAATTGTTAAATATGTTAAAAAAATAGTTTTAATTTAATATGACATTTGTCGATATGTCCCAACACTAACATTTTTGTAACTCGAGATAACCTTGTAGAGACGTCGTTAATACTCTAGCTTGATTTTTATAATTTCGAATTACTAATTATTGGTGTAATTTAACGCTGCATTTACACGAAATTATCATTTTTATTGGAAGCACTGTCGTCGAAAATATTGTTTGTAGGTCAGACGTGAATTATTTCTTGTCCGCCAATATTTTGCTCTCATTGATCGCTACTACAAAGTTATGTCGTTACTTTTGATGACAGCTGTCATTCTAATCAAGCTATATTGGATAGACTATAAATACTGTGCAGTATTTAACTGCCTAAATAATAATAATAACACAGAATGTACTTTTTTAAGTTGCCTGAAGACACTGAGAGGTAATTAAGTGGTTAATATTATTCATGATGCTTAATCATGTATTTCCTCCGCCATTTTCTGCAGTTTGGCACCTCACGTCACACATCATTTTACCGAAGTCAGCCCTATGGCTTCGGCGCAGTACGGATCACTGACGTTTATCAACAAAATGGTGCTTGACTCTTGAGACAAGCTAAATTACACCATATTGTTAATGACATTGAGCTACATTTTTTTTAAATACCTTCGCGAAGTAAACCTGTACGTAGTACTTATTATTATTCTGTGAGAATAATAGAGAACGCTTGGGACCCTCGGTCACGGCGACTTTTTGTAGCGATGCAGTCGCGCTGCTGTAGCGAGTTAGTGGCGCGTTGGCTTCACTTCTGTAGTGCGTTGCAAATGCGACTAACGCGCGTTAGATTTCGTTAACGCGCGACAAAAATCGCCGTGGGCGAGGGCCCTTAGGCTGAGTTTCACAATCTAACTTTAACCGTAACTTTATCGATAACCGGTTTTTTTTATAGAGTTTGACAAACTTGACGTTTGTTATAGTTACAGTAAGATGGTGCAACTCAGCTAATTATGTAGACTCAAAAAACGCGTGAATTACGCTCGTTTGGCCTCAGCCTAAAATCTACACTAAAACTTACGCATGTGCCATATTCAATGCACGTAAATGCACCTCCGTAGCGTGTGAATGCTTCCCCTGCGCTTGAGAAAACCCGTCCCACGCGTCCACACCACATTGCGCTGCTCATACAAGTTTTCGATACAGACGAAGACACGCGTGTGGGACCCCCACAGGAGATTTAGCAGAGGCTTTAGCTTAATCACCGTTAAACCTATAATGGGCCAAGGCCAAATTTTTCATTGTTTTTGGACCTTACGACAAGGGAATAAGGTTCAAAATAATGGTGGGAATTATATTTCCACTAAAATCAGTCGTCATTAGACAGTGCTTTTTACTTATTTTCATCTCAATCGCAGGTGTTATACGCGCTAATGTGGAACGATTCGCAATCCTCATTCCGGGCGTGTACGCTTGCGCTGCCGGCGCTTCGGGCGGCGTTAGCGGGCGGCCGGGTCTCCGCGGCGGAGGCCAGCGGAGCCCTAGCGGCTGTCTTACAGGCGTTGCGGACTCATGGTCAACATGACGCCAACCAGGCGGCGCTGCTTGCGCTTGCTGTGCAGGTAATAAACGTGTACAAGAAAAAAAAGTTGTTGCCTATAGACGTCCCTTCCGCTTGCAACATATTCATATTGCTACGTGTCGCACACGGGCCATTCTTCGGCCTGTAACCACTATCACTATCTATGATGCACATAGCTGTGAAATAATGTCATTCCGCGAGTGCACTATCGGTGTTAGCGGGCGGCTGGGTCTCCGCTGCGGAGGCCAGCGGAGCCCTAGCGGCTGTCTTACAAGCGCTGCGGACTCATGGGCAACACGACGCCAACCAGGCGGCGCTGCTTGCGCTTGCTGTTCAGGTAATAACCATTCACAGAAAAAGTAGTTTAGAATTCCAGCACCTATAGGCTAAGAACTCACGGCGCGATTTACACCCGCGCCCGCGGCGGTTTCGGGCCCACAGCTTCTGTAGAATGCAGATACTTATGTAAAAACAAATGCAGAACTCACGACGCGGTTTGCGTCAGTTACGGACACGTTAAATCTAGGGTGCGCGTAGCAATGTGAATATGTCATTCCGCGAGTGCACGTTGGCGCTATTGGCGTTAACGGACGGCCGCGTATCGGCTGCGGAGGCCAGCGGAGCCCTAGCGGCTGTCTTACAAGCGCTGCGGACTCATGGCCAACACGACGCCAACCAGGCGGCGCTGCTCGCGCTCGCTGTGCAGGTAATAAACGTGTACAGGAAAAAAGTTGCTGTCTAAAGATGTTCCTTTCGCTTGCAACATATTCATATTGCTACGTGTCACGCACGGGCCATTCTTCGGCCTGTAACCACTATCACTATCTATGATGCACATAGCAATGTGCATATGTCTGTGGAGGCCAGCGGAGCCCTAGCGGCTGTCTTACAAGCGCTGCGGACTCATGGCCAACACGACGCTAACCAGGCGGCGTTGCTCGCACTTGCTGTTCAGGTAATAAACGTCCAGCAGAAAAAGTAGTTTCTACGTCCCTTTCGCTGGCAACATTGCTACGTTTCATGCGCGGATTACGCATAGGTTTGTATCCAGTTAGAACACGTACAGTCTTTGACGATTGTTATGATACACGTTGCAATGTGAATGTCATTCCGTTCGTGTACGCTTGCACTGCCGGCGCTTCGGGCGGCGTTAGCAGGCGGCCGCGTCTCCGCTGCGGAGGCCAGCGGAGCCCTAGCGGCTGTCTTACAAGCGCTGCGGACTCATGGGCAACACGACGCCAACCAGGCGGCGCTGCTCGCACTTGCTGTTCAGGTACGAACTATCCATAGAAAAAGTAGTTTCTACGTCCCTTTCGCGGGCAACATTGCTACGTTTCATGCGCGGACCACGCATAGGTTTGTAAGTTACAACACAGAAACTATGATGCGCGTAGCAATATTATGTCATACCGGGCGGCCGCATGTCCGCTGCGGAGGCCAGCGGAGCCCTAGCGGCTGTCTTACAGGCGCTGCGGACTCTTGGCTAACACGACGCCAACCAGGCGGCACTGCTTACGCTTGCTGTTCAGGTAAAGATCTCTCACAGGAAAGAAGTAACTACTTGCAACATATCTACATTGTTCCGTATCATGTATGGGTCACGTACCTGTCTATATCCAGCGGGGTTAGCCCGAAAAACGTTATCCGAAGTTTTTTTTATGCATAACAAGGCAGTTACTTGACCACAGTCGCACCTGATGTTAAGTGGGATGCAGTCTAGGATGTTACATATCTGCCCCGTAAGTTTCGAATGTTGCCATCCCTCTCACGCAATGCGAGATGGCAGCATGAGCAACTGTGACAGACAGACTCGAAATTTCCTAAACAGCGTGTATTTGTAACAAGTGTCGTTTCACGCTGCGCTTCCCCAGCATCGTGATCTTAATAAAGCACCTTATGCATTTGTAATAAGTGTCGTTTCGACGTACGAAGCTCTACGCCCTCTTTTCCCTAACATCGTGGACGTAATTTCGCACCTTGTGTCATTGTAATAAGTGTCATATTTCTGTAGACTTACGAGGCTCTCCGGCCGCGGTTCCCGTCGATCGTGAGCGTGCTGCGTGAGATTCCCGACGTGGACGCGCACGACCTGCGGCGGCTGGACGAGAAGCTGGCCGCGCCGCCCGCCAAGCCCTCCAAGACAGACAAGAGCAAGCGCGACCTCTTCAAGAAGATCACCGCCAGGGTCAGTACTATTAGAGGCTGGTAAAGCCCGGTCCGTGAGCACGTAGAATTTTGTCCAATGACCCCTAGCTACCCATCCTTATCGCTCGCGCGTAATTATATTGCTGTCGCGACTGTGCGACTGGCACCCGCAGTGAGTGTGCGAGCGCGATAGCAACATAATTACGCACGAGCGATAAGGATGGGTAGCTTCGGGTCATTGGACAAAATTCTACGTGCTCACAGACCAGACTATAGATCTATTCTCATAAATAAAACACTGGATACTCAACTTTCACACTATAATATTGCCTTATTTTAATTACAATTCATCACTTAGCACAAAAGCGCGGAGAGTCGTCACCGCGCGTCCCTCTATTCTGACGTTTGATTCTCGTGTGACATTGACATTACGTCAATGCTATAACGATATAGATGACCCACGCTGAACTGTCCCACCAAACTCAATGACAGGGGGGCGCTACCATTGTTCAACTATATGTTTTCCAACATGGCAAAAATCGGAACCAGCGATCCGGTATTGACGGTGGCGCCCCACTGTCAATGTCATGCGTAGGACAGTTTAGTATTTTGGAACTATACCGCTATTTTAACGTTTTAGATTTTTCATAATTAACAGTACTCAAGTAGTATTCTCTTAACTTATTCAGGGCAGCGCATGAGCGCAGTACACGTCGACCCATTGGGGTCTTTTGTGCTTCACTTTACCTATTATTCCCTCTCCTCATCCGCAAAAATCCTATTCATAAGGCGAATTAAATGGAGGGACCTATAGTCTTCTGGTGCCGGATATCCGACCCCAGGAGACCCATCCTAGTTACGCTAACGCGTGGCATTCACACAGTAGTTGCTTCTTGGACTCCGCAATCGTCGTCCGTAGTGTAAGAGCAAAAATTTAAAGTTTTTTTTATTAGTCTTTTATTTTTTAAGAGTTCAATAGTGGTGTATTGAGAAAGTCCAATTATGAAAACAAGACACAATGTAGAGGACAACGGAACTCGCTTCTTCCCAGTTTCCACCAGGGGCCAACGTCAAGATTTCGGTAGTGTTGTTTGGGACCACTGGTTCCTGATAAAATCCCTGGGAGCTTATTACGAACTAACTCATCATCATTTCAACCGGTGTGTCCACTGCTGAACATATGCTGCCTCCAATGACTTCCACATCGCACATATGAGAACTAGGATTCTATTTTCAGGAGTGCCGTGTTTAACTGTTAATTAATTAAGTATCCCGCGTCTCAGAACATCCTATCTAATAAAGTATTGCAAGCCTAAGCACTTTTAGTTATAGTAATTCCATGTATCCGTGTTTGTCTTGTTGGTTGTCCTAATAAATAAAATAAAATATTTTTTCCAGTTGATCGGGCGCAACGTGGGGCAGCTATTCAAGAAGGAAGTGTACATCCTAGACCTGCCGACCATGCAGTCGTCCAAGGAGAAGCCGCGCGGCCCGCTCGACACGGCCGAAGGTGCGCAGCTTGACACGCTGTTTGCGCACGCGCCCACTTAGCCCCGCCATACTCGACTGTGAACCATTTATATGTTACTATTAAATTATATTATTAACATTTGCTGCGTTTTCTTCGATTAGTACAATCTTCGTCAACCTATAAGCAGCTTACGGCTGGACATACGCCACCACAATACGCGACGTTTATTCTATACTAATTATGTTGCTGTCGCGCTCGCACACTCACTGCGGGCGCCCGTCGCACATTCGCGACAGCAATAATTAGGCGCGAGCGATAAGGATGGGTAGCTTGGGGTCATTGGACAAAATTCTACATGCTCACAGACCGGGCTTTAGCTTTCTGACCACGGCGCCCGCGTGGAATTTTGTCTGTTACAGAAAAACATCGCGCGCGTCTCTGTTTCAAAAACCGGGATAAAAACTATCCTATGTCCTTTCCCGGGATTCAAACAACTATCTCTATGCCAAAATTCATCAAAATCGGTTCAGTGGTTTAGGCGTGAAAGCAAGACAAACAGACAGACTGAGTTACCTACTTTCGCATTTTTAATATTAGTATAGATTATATCAAAGAGCAGTGGGGGATACATACTACCCCGACTCATTTAGCTAAGTGATCCCGCAGCTATATAAGTTCATGATAAGTAGGATCGGATATCTTATTATTCTTTTTGAGTGTGATTAATTTTATGATGGTGGGGTAATATAATGATAAAATAAACACAGCACTATGGTTCAATAAATAAATAATTTATTACCATATTAAAAAGCAGTCCTGAATTGAAACTTACACCAAATTCAACATTTAAATGTAACAGAGAGAAACGAAAAGTTTTACTTTTCGTACGTGTACACCATTTGTTTGCCTAGGTCTATATTCTTTCCGTTGCTGACTAGCTGCACGGTGGATGTAGCTACGTCTACTTTTAATACTGCTGCGTCTTCGAGGACAATACATTTCGTTTCGTGGTCGCCGGGCACGGGGATCTTGCGAGGACCGAGGATTGGGTCGTTGTACCGCCACACTTTCAGGCTACTCACGTCTGTAAAAAGTAAATAAAATACATTTTTTATACACAAAACGTTTACCAAATGAAAATGGACAACATTTATTTACATACACATTATAGGGGAGTAAAAAAATGTTATAAAATTAACGTAAAATTACTAACATATTACTACTTGCAATATGTAATTTATTGGGCCAATGGGCATGATTTCAGGCTGGAAACGATGTATAAAAAAATACTACCACTACTATTTTTAATTTTTTTAAACCAAATTTTAATTAACTGTGATTGTAAGTGGAAAACGATTGTGATCGCAAAATAGTGAAAACATTGAAATAGTGTAAATCAGAAAATTGTTTTATAAAAAATTACTTAACCAAAACCTTTTTTTTTTTTTTTTTAATTTATTTAAGGCAACATACAGTCATGTACAATCAATAGTACTATAGTAAAGATGAATATGATTAAAGACCAAATTAGTGCCTATTTATAGCTATTACAATATTGGTTACAAATGAGCCACTCTTAGGACTAAAATTTTTAACAACAAGCCAAAACCTAGTGCACAGACAACGGCATATCGAGCCAACCACTATGGAATCTTATGTAGTTGTAATAGTTACTTTTTTTTAACCTTACAGTAACTTCTTACCTTTAATAGCTTTGACTTCCTTGCTGATCTTGGCTTTCACCTTCTCAACGGTATCGCCATCGCTCAGGCTGACGGTCACCGTGAACAGCCCACTACGCGGCGTAGGATTGACGACGGTGACGTCAACACCCGGCTCCGCGAAGAAGTTGATGTGCGGCGCTCCCGGGGCGCAGTCCTCGCGAGTCTTCTCGGATGCCTCGCCGCTGTCCGTATAGCGGACTTCGATGGAATCCAGCTGAATGGAAAAAAGGTTGGATTATTTTAGGTGCCTAGGTGGGTGGGTAAATTACCTAGAACAGTCATTTGACAGTTTCAATTCAAATTTACTAAACCATAGCGCGTGCGTGCGATCTGAGGACTAAGGCTGGGTTGCACTATCTTACTTTGACTTTGAAAAACGTCAAAAATCTGTCAAACTCCATACAAAATATGCCGGTTATCGTTATAGTTACAGTCAAAGTTAGGTGGTGCAGCAACTCAGCCTTAGTATGACGGATTGTACAGCGCCCTTAGTGGAAACTTTCAAGAACTTAAATCTTCATATATTTTTAACGCAGTCTATATCGAATGCGTTTGATGTAAACTCACACTCCCCTGAGCTCTTACAACGCTTTTTCTTTCTTTTGTTATCATTAAATGTTGTATAACTTTCTGCAATCATGGCAGTGTAGTATATGTAGTGTATGTAGGAGTGTAGGCCGAATCCATTTAATTCTATACTCACATCCAAAGTACTCAGCAAGTACTGCTTATTATCCTCCAGCACGGCAGCCTCGTCGAATGGCAGCGCGACCGACAGGGCGGAGTCTCCTACTCTCTCGAGCGCTTCGCGCGTGGCTTGCACGAAAGGCATGGCTCACTTCATATTCCTGTAGTCTTCTCTCCATGATTGAAATCACCTTACCATCTCCGCTTTTCCTATGCGAACATCAGGGCCTTCCCAACTTGCCTGGCCAGGGAGTGTAGTCCAAACTCCTCTGGTAAATTGGAATTAGTGTTCCTGCAGCAGACACTAAATGATACTCACATCCAAAGTACTCAGCAAGTATTGCTTATTATCTTCAAGCACGGCAGCCTCGTCGAAAGGCAGCGCGACCGACAGGGCGGAGTCTCCTACTCTCTCGAGCGCTTCGCGCGTGGCTTGCACGAAAGGCATGGCTCGCTTCATGTACTTCTTCAAGTCTTCGATGCCGCCCAGCTTGCTCGATATCACCTTGTTGTCGGGCAGGCCTGATGGCTGATGAAATTAATGGTATTTTAGTTAGTATTTAAGTTATTAAGATATAGTTGGGCTATCTAAAGCCTGGTCCGTGAGCACGTAGAATCCCGTCCAATGACCCCAAGCTGCCCATCCTTGTCGCTCGCACGTAATTATGTTGCTGTCGCGCTCGCACACTCACTGCGGGCGCGCGTCGCACAGTCGCGACAGCAATATAATTACGCGCGAGCGATAAGGATGGGTAGCTTGGGGTCATTGGACGGGATTCTACGTGCTCATGGACCAGGCTTTACACACTTTTCTACAAATAACTAAGCCGGTAAGATTAATGTTAAGTACAGACAATAACGAGTTCCCTATGCTTAGTTTGATGCGATAGAAAAATAACAGACTAGTTTTTTTAAACTGTACGAAGAATACAATCGTGCCTAGCTAAAAAAAATTTTGACCTCTTTTTTGTCGATAAAAATAGGTCTAGTTTCATCTATTTTCATATATGTATGTACACTTTAACCTGACTCACACTGTATTACGATCGATAGTAAAACAACCGAGAACTATTCATTCACGCAAAAAGCGTGCTTCAGCTTAGCTTTTATGATTGGCGTAAGAAGAAACCTGCCTCAATCATAACATCATTTCATTTAAAACCGGCTTTCAACCGTGAGTAATTCAAGTTTCAAACTCACCCCATTTAGTTCCTTCAAAGTGGTCAAAATGATGTGTTGCCACCTCGGGTATTCTTTCGCCACCCATATAATAGCTTTGTTCGGTTTCTTCTCAGGTTTGGGAGCCTCTCCCTTTTTGGGTTTCTTGACCGCGCAGTGGTTCTTGAGATAGATTCGGAAGGAGTGGGCGGCGTCCATCAAGTAGTTGCTAGCTTTGACTGCCACCTCGTCGATGTCGCCCGAAACTGGCCATCGCTCGTGGAGGATACTTCTTTTCTGTAATCGTACATTACTTGTCTTAATATTGTGTACCTACTAAGATGACTAATGGATAGGTGATTTACTTGAAACTTTGTCTTGTGAAACGCAAACAAATGTCGAGGTTTTTAATATCATATTCATGAAATTAATTTTCGTCATACGCAAATTGATTAATCACGCTGTACGTTTCATGAAGTGTGTTATCAAAATTATGTTATGATTATGAAAGGAAAGTTTAACGAGAATTTGATTACTTTTCACGTTAGCTCTGATAAATCTATTGATGTATTTTCTAGTCGGCCCTACTTTGATTTATCCATTAGAAGCGACACATACTAACCCCAAACGATGCTTATGGAGTCCCCTTTACCCTACAACAATCTTGATAATTGTCTTCTGAAAGCTGGAACGAAAATTCAATTGAATCAAACTACTTACATTTCCCAACAATTCCCACACATGCTCGGCCACGTGCGGGCAAATCGGCGCCATTAACTTCGCCTGCGTCTCGATATAGCGCGTCAGAAGATTCGCGTGGAGCCCTACGTCGGCGCACAACTCGCGGTACTTGTCCCGGGCCGCCTGCAGCTCGAAGAAACCAGTCTTGAGAGCCTCCTTGAATAACAGCTTGCCGTAGTTGTCGTCCGTTTGAGAGATCTTCGTGTTCATTTCGCTGATGAACACCTTGTCGTGGAAGTTGAACTCGCCTGGAGAAATGAATGGAAAATAATCGTCTATAAACAATAAAACTTCATTCGACCAAACATGGAAATAAGTAAGAGAGATGTCATACGGGCGCTGACGATGCGGAGCGTCGTATCTCTCTCAAGTTACATTGTCACTTCACCCTACCCTACACCTGCTTTTTGTCGCTATTTATTATAGTCAAAATCAACAACCACAAATATCGAAACAATAACAAAAAAGTTACGAACTTGTTACGTACGAGTAATAATAGCCTTTGCGCTTGCGACGAATATAAAACTTTTTAAAAGAAAAAACTTTGTATGAAAAAAATATTACCTGTCCTCAGAGTCGCTTTGGCGGCAACCATTTCCTTCACCCACTCGATAAAAGTGAACAGCCTGAGTATAGCCGCGTCTGCCGTGCTTTCAACAAAATTGGCGTCTTCCACAGAATCACCCGCGTCGGCAAGCGTGAGCCGCATACCGTCCGCGCTAAACTTATCAATAGACTCCGAAAGCGTCAAGAAGTTGCCATCCGACTTCGACATCTTAGCAGAGTTCAACATAAGGTGCCCATTCGCGCGGATGCCTTGTGGCCACTTCCCTTCTTCTTTCGGCCAGATGGCGCAATGATTGTAAATGTAAAACGTCAGGTGGTTCTGGATCAAGTCCTTTCCGGACACTCGAAGGTCAACTGGATACCTGTAGGAAACATTTTGTTTATTACATTATGTCTTTTTCTAATTAGCTTCCGAATTTTAGGGGGGATGTTGTTTTGTGATTAACAAAAATGTCTTACCAGAACTGGAAAGATGTCCTCATGAGATCTAAAGACTTTTTGGCTATCTTCGTGCTTTTTGGAAAAGGCGCATCTTTAAAGAAAATATAATCCCAAACTTCAGACGTCATTTCTTCGGGTTTTATCTTCAGAGCATTCTCCTTGTTGCCTCTAAACGTGTCGCCTTGAAGGAAATGCGAAATAGTGTAGTATGCATTGTAAATAGTCGAATCTGACAGAGATTCTATCACCCACTGAGTATCCCAGGGCAGTTTGGTACCTGAAATGGGATAAAGTTAGAATAAAGAACCTTCAGTTATTGGCTGAAGAAGGAAAGGAGAAGTACATACCAAGACCATAAGTTCTAGAGCATGCATATTCGTGTAACCACTTGAGTGTGGCTTGGAAATTTTTCCTGACCTCATCATGGTAAGTGTTCATTGCAGCAAGAGCCTTCTCAGCTTGACTTTTCCATTCTTCATTGCCATAATCAAGATACCATTGATTGCACAAAGCGACAACGCATTCGTCGCCAGATCTCGACATGATAGTTTTCTCGGGCTCGTAATAAATTACTGCACTCTTTTCCTCAATCAGTTTCGATTGCAAGTTCTTTTTTACGTCTTGAATTTTGCTCCCTTTGAATTCACCCACCAGAAGGACACCATCATAGAATCCTTTTAAGTAGACCATTTCTTTGGCTTGAGTCAACTTATCCTTATCATTTTGGCTCTGTATTTTCAGTTGTTCATACACATGGACAGCAGATAGGTTGCCAAATTCGGGAATTTCAAGAATCGGTACAGGAGTAAAGGGTAGAATCATTTCATCCTTGATTCCATACTTTTCTCTAAAGGCAGGTTTCTTTTGAAGATCTACCAACGCCGCATAGTCGTCAGGTGAGTCAGACGGAACACTGGTGACAATGCCAGTGCCTTTGTCTTCTTTGATAGTCAACATGGGGAGGCAGTATATTTTGGGGTAGCAAGTAAATGGGGATTTCACTGCAACTCCAAACAGATCTTGGCCAACGATTTCTTGAAGTACTTTGAACTCCCCATCTTTTTCAGTGAAGCCTTGATAAGCCATATTCCTGGCAGCCCTTCTGGTGCAAATGAAGATTCCATCCTTTACAGTTTCAAAAGCAATGTATTTGATGTCAGGGTGAATCCAGCAGTTAGTTTGACCATACATGGTCTCTGGCCTTAATGTTGCTGCTACAAGGTTGACCTTTTTTCCTTTGAAAGATCTGAGAATATAAAACAATCAAGTAAAATAAATAAATTAAAAAATCTTCATCACTATTTCATGTTATTGAGAAAGTAACTAACTTGAATAGAGCAGGGAGTGGTTCTTGGACTTCCATCTTAATGAGGGTATACTCTTGAGGTCCTGCACCTTCTCCAGTGCTTCTGTCGTGGTCCATGCAAGGTTGTTTATCCAGAGGTGAGAATATGGTGTACCTTTTGCCATACATAATTTTCTTACGATCCTTGAGGTGATGGAATTGCCATCTAATGAAGGAATCATAAAACGGATTGGCATCAGTTGTAATGAACTTGCGGCGCCAATCGACCTATGAGGAAAACATAAATAGGTATATTAAATAATTTCCTGTTTAAAGTTGGGACTCTATAAATACAGTTTAAATAAAGAAGAAAAGATAAAAATAAAACTAACATGAATACCCATCCTCTTCAAATCAACAACAGCTCTTGGCGGGAAATATTCAAGCCAATAACTTTCATTGGCAAACTCCTTGATCTCCTCCTCTGGTATCCCCAGACTCCTCATGATTTGCCACTGATATTTAGCAGAACCTGTTTTAGCAACTGCTTTACTTTTCTTTCCTTTGCTTTTATCTTTTGGCACTATGTCAGTTTCTTCTTTCAGGGAAACTTCTTCTTCTTCAGGGAATACTGGAGGGTAGCCAAACATTTCCATTTCCCTTTTGAGCTTGTCAGCACAAGCTTTGATGGGCATTCCTGTGCAATGGAACCCAAATGGGAATAACACCATCTTGCCTTTTAATCTGTAATACCTTGATGCAAACTGAAAGCATACATCATTTATTTAACAAGATTAAAATAAGTAGAATAATAGTATACATTTTTATAAAGAAATGTAACTTACTTCACATTTGGAAAGTGAAAATGTGTGTCCTAAATGTAAGCGCCCATTCATGTAAGGGTATGGAAAAGTGCACATGAATTTTTCATGTGGTTTGCCATCACTTGGCGCCTCCATTTCAAAGATTTTCTCTTTCTCCCATCGCTCTTGCACTTTTTTTTCAATGTCTTGAAGGTATTCGACCTTATAGGTCCCCTTCCTATCTAAAGTAGTCTGAAAATAAGTGTATTACATTATACTTTAATAAATATGTTGTGTACAAGTGACATCTTCATTAGATTATCATAGAATAATGTGTGTATCATAGAAAATGTCGCAAGAATGTTAATTGACTCATATCGCAATTGACTATTAAAAACAATTAGATATTAAATAAACAACTTCAAAAGACCAATTTCCAATCCAACTTGACTATTATCATTATCATTATTTTATTGCTACTTATAGAATCATGGACACAGATAAGGGTAATGCAATTTTCGATAGTGGCTTAACATTTGACATTGAAACAATATGTAATGTTGGACCAACAGAAATTCAGTAACATATGGATGGTAGGAATGTGGTATGGATGTTGAGACAGAAATCTTTAACAGTACATGAGTACATGAATAAATAATGAATTTTTACAATTTATGATTTATTTATAACAAGGATAGGATAAAAATATCTAAATATTATATTCATGCCCATCAAAAAAGGTAGCAATACAGTTATAGATAAATATGCTGAGGAAGTTATTAAAAAAATGCATAAAATAATTTTTAACATTTTTATCCATTTTCTAATTGACCAGCATGAGATTTGTCATGATTTCATCAGACGCTCTGAGCGACTTGGTACTTCCTGTAGTGTAGAGGTTAAATCGTGCGGCTTTAAACTTAGGGTTTGCGTCGTAAATCTGTGTTGTATCGCAACTGGGATTTAAATAAGTCTTCAACAAATGCAGTTGACTGTTACATCAAATAATAAACGTAAAATTTCTTATCAAAAAGAAATTTAAGAAGTAAATATATAAACATGTACTTAAGGCTTAAAAACTTAACAATTTATGGATTTTGCAGTTACTAAGCTAGGAATTTAATTATTAATACCATTATTTAATTTAGCTTCTCCACCCAACTATAGTTTTATTGTAAATTCGTAAACTTTGCGGGAATTCAGAACACGTTGCACTCTTGCTCCCACACTGACATTAATGACATTTACAATTTTTGACATTTTCACTTGACGTTGACATTTTCAGAATACAATGCCGCCAACATGCCAACAAATTGTAAACTCTTGTATACACGATCAATTCCATGTAGGATTAACATTAATCTGTTTCCGGCATATTCTTTTGCCTAAAGTATATTAAAAAAGTTAGTTTTTGACACAAAAAATTGGCGGCAGTGGCGTTTTCTGTCATTTCGCCGGAAACTTTTCGCTCGCCACCTTCCTCAAGACGCGATATTATAAATTGATCACATTTTCTTGTTAAAATTAAAGAAAAATCTGTAATTTCTTCATAATAAACAAAAGTTACAATGGCGCCAAGAACTGCTAAGGCAAAGGTACCGTAATTTAATTTTCTAAACTGTAACAACCCTTTAAATTTGAACACCAAACTGGTTTGCTTTGTTATCGCAAGTATCTCTTGAATGCTATTTTAGTACGCCATTATTTCTAAAGGAAATATGAAATATTCATGAATCATAAAGGATTAATCTTTCCTTTTTTACGATTTGGCCTTTTCGTCTACATACGCAGGTTGTAAACACATGGTCGATTCCCTCCAAAATCTTTAAAAAGCGTCTTCAGTTGTGTATGTTTTGTGTTTTAGTATGTACTTAGTTACGTGTTATATTATTAACAATAATATTATCCATTACCTAGTTAGATAGCCCGTGAAATTTGAGTGTATTTCTTTGAATTACTAAAAGATCTCCACTTCTCTTTAGATGACTAAAAACGAGCAGATAACGAGTTGTTTTATAAGTCAATAACCTTGCCGTTTCTTATATTTCATCAAATTAAATGCGTATTTCGTATTTACTGAATGTGTAACATCTTTACAGAAAGCTGTGGATGTCAAAGTAGCAGACAGTGAAGCACCAAAAAAAGGGCGCGGGAAAGCTAAAGTAATTGAAGACCCTGAGCCTGAAGTGCTAGACTCTGAAGTGAGTGAGGAGGTGGCCGCAGCAACAGACAAAAAATCAAAGCGTGGAAAGAAGGTTGCAAATGGACAAGACAATGACAAAAGTGAGGATTCAGCCCCACCAGCCAAAAAGGGTAGAAAGAAGGTGGCAGAGGAAACAAACGACGACAAACCTAATGATGATAATTCAGCTGATGAAGAGTCTACCCCCAGTGAACAAAATTTAGAAAACGGTGACAGTTCAGAAGCGAATGGTGATGCGATGGAAGTCCAGAACGGTAATGCGAAAGGGCGAAAGAAGCCTGCCAAAAAAGAGTCTGCAGCTGAAGTCAAACCTAAGCAAACAGGAAGAGGTAGAAAAAATGCTAAACCAGCTGAAACTGAAGCTGATCAGGAAGTTGTAGATGAAAAGCCAAAATCAGCAGGCAAAGGTAGAGGGCGTAAGGCTCCAGCCAAGAGCGAACCTGAATCTCAAGAAAAGTCTGAAGATAATGAAGAAGAGCCTAAACCTGAGCCCGCCCCAGCCAAAGGCAGAAAGAAGGCACAACCAAAGGCTGTTAAGGAGAAAACTCCAGAGAGTGAAAAAGAGGAAGTTGAAGCTGAAAACATGGAAGTAGAAGATGAACAACCTGAAGAACCTAAAAAGAAAGAGAGCAAAGGTCGGAAAAATCAGGGAAAGAAAGCACAAGCCAAAGAAGAATCTGTTGAGAAAGATGAAGATAAGGAAGAGCCACCGGCTAAGAAAAGGAAAGGAGCCAAGAAAGATGAAAAAGCTAAGGGTGTGTATTGTTTTAATCATCCACTTGCATTTAGAATTTACTAAACTAAAAAATGTATTTTAAGAATCAACAATAAAGCTTGAGATAGATAAAGCATAAAGTCATTGTAACATCTTATTGTATATTCTTTTGAATACTTAATTGTTTTAATGTACATTTGTAGATAATAAACAGTATTGTTTTTTCTGATAGGTGATGTAAAAGAAGAGGAAGCCACCGATGATGTCGAAGAAAAACCTGCCAAAGGTAAAAGAGGTCAGAAGAAAGTGGCCGAGCCTTCCGCGGAGGCTGACGAGGAACCCCAGGACACCGGGGAGCAGCCGACCAAAAGGCGCCGCAAGCAAGCCGAAGAAAAGGGTAAATAATTGTTATTACTTGAATTATGGTTAGATTGACAATATTGTTTCGTATTCCTAAGATTACTTGTCTCGTATTAATAATTTAATTAATAAATGGTTTTTTTCTTATTTATTTATAAAGCTTTTATTTATTTCTCCTCATCTTTACTTAAAAAATTTTTTTTTTGGTGGTTTGCAGCTTGGTTGTTAGGTTGTTGTTACTCCTTCATCCAAATTTTTATACATTTCTTGAGATACAAATATTTGCTTGCTAAATAAATAAAGTAGGACTCCTTAAATTTACCCTGCATAAGTTGTAGATGACTAATCAATATAATGCATGAATAGAGCTCATAGTTCATTGGTAGTATAGACAAGAATTACTATAATAGGGCTTAGGACTTTAGATGGACTATGCATGTCTTTAGATCTTGTAAATTTCAAATTTATTTTTGCTCTTATCTCTTGATATTAGACATACAGAAATTCACTACACAATTAACATAATATCATAGTCACTCACCTGTTTTGTACTGAGCTAAGGAGGGGTGGAGCTGGAACTTTATACCTACTGTAAGTTAACCCTTAAATAGTTGGGAGTTGGAAATTCTGCAATAACAACGATGATGTACTCACCTTGTTCTTCACAAAGATAGTCCTTACGAGATAATTTAATTTTGTGCCATCTAAAGATGCAGTATGCAATAAGTACGGCAATTTGTCAATTCAGCTGTATTTCCACTAAGTAGCAGCATAGTCTTGAGTATTTTCATACATTTGGGGTATTTGAGGTATTTCAATAAAAGTACTTCCATTTTGTCCTGTTTCTCAGTGGGTTTTTTTATCTCTACAAAGTCACAACCGATTTATGGCCTATGACGCACCTACCTAGCGCGTCATGAAGAAACCAGTTTTTTTACTCTTCTCTACTTATCTGAGGCCTATGATTACAGTCAGATACATAACAATAGAATCGACACATTACTGTTAACGATTCAGACTGTTTTACCTTTCAGCACCTGCTGCAGACAAAAAGAAGGCTCCATTAAAAAACAAAGCTGCAACAGATTATGAAGAATTAGACTTTTCCAATTCTTCACAAAACACACAAGGAAAAGAGTGGAACTTCAAAATATCTAGCTGGAACGTGGACGGCATCAGAGCGTGGATGAATAAAGGTGGTTTGGATTACATAAAATACGAGAAACCTGATATTCTCTGCTTGCAAGAAGTTAAGTGCGCTCAGGACAAACTTCCGGAAGAAGTTGCGAGTGTGCCGGGCTATCACGCGTATTGGCTGTGCAGCGACAAAGATGGGTACGCAGGTGTAGGCATATACACCGCCAAGTTGGCCATGAATGTCCAATACGGCCTTCAGAATGAGGAGCTCGACAGCGAGGGACGTGTTATAACTGCAGAGTATGAACACTTTTACCTGATCACTACATATGTCCCCAATGCTGGAAGAAAACTAGTCACTCTACCCAAAAGACTGCAATGGAATGAAGAGTTCCGAAAGTATGTTAAGGAATTGGATAAGAAAAAGCCTGTGATAATATGTGGCGACATGAATGTGGCGCATAATGAGATAGGTAATGTATACTTTCAAAACTATTGGCAATGCATGAAATTAGCATAACTCTCACTTGTTATCCTACTTACAACATACTACAGAGATCAAAGGCCATCGAGAATAGTTTTGATGACTCATACTGTTATTTGTGCAATATTTTTATCGTTTTGATAACATGAGTGCGTAAATTACTGTTTACAATAATTCACTAACTCGTTTTTTGTCCTTTATGTACCCGCCTGCAGACTTATGATGAAGGGCGTGAATTACGTTTATTATATTGCATCATTCTGTGGCCTTGACTAAAACTTAGTTAAACCGATTGCATTTTTGTTAAAATCATGCTACCTTGTGGTTGGTATGTCGAAATCTCTATCAATGACGCAGAGGCATGTTGAATCGCCTTGAGCGCTAGAGCTTTCGCCTGTTCCAGTCCCGGTAGGATGAAAGCACACTTATCAACCCGGAAACGGATCGTAACCGAAGACCGTATCAACTCGAGGCGGTCAATATGCTTTCTATGAAACTCGTACTGCAACGCATACTTATCCACGCCGTAATGTAAAATTGTAAACGCTTCGCCTCGCGGCTCGCGGCGAAAGGCGTTGATCACACACACCGGGTTGAAAGTGTGCTTTGACTATTAGCTTTTCTTAGCAACAATCTTCCTCTTAAGACCATTAATTTCGTCAAATTGGCGACAGCAAATATGTTATTTGTCTTCTTAATTTACAGATTTAGCTAACCCCAAGACGAACAGGAAGAATGCCGGGTTTACCGATGAAGAGCGCTCCGGGATGAGCGAGCTCCTCGGGGATGGATTCGTGGACACTTACCGCCACCTGAATCCGGACAAAACCGGCGCGTACACGTTTTGGACTTACATGATGAACAGCCGATCCAAAAATGTTGGATGGTGAGTATTTTAAGACAATCTACTGCCATACGAAGTCTATGGATGTTCTACTCGCGGGTTTGATTCCCGTTTTAATGTTCAGCTATTGTGTGATGGAATAATGTTGCTGAAGTCCATTTGGACTTGTAAAGGGTTTCTAATATTGTTCCATAATAATTCTAAATGATCTATTCCACTTTGATCACCCAGGTGTTCAAAGTGGACTCCAGGCGACACTGTGGTGTCCTTTGATCATGGATAGGAGGACTTCTTATCCATGGGTGATCAAAGTGGGATAGACCTCAATTTACAAACAATTACAGTAAGTTATGTAGGCCTACCTCATTTCAGTAGTCTGACTGTCACTTAAAAATACTTATGCCTTTT